AATATGTAAATCAATGGAAGTGTAACTGATGTGATTCTGCAATCTGTATATGGGGTAAAAATGGGAGTTCATAACCCACTTGAATCAAAGTGTGAAATATGATATATCAAGAACTATGTAATGTTTTGAAMAACCAATAATAAAAAAAAAGTACTGTTTAAGGACAGGCGGAGGAAGAGGGACCAGTAATAGAAAACCAAAGAAAGAAATGCAAGAAAGCAGCACGGAAAAAGTCAAAGACCTTCTCCATAGAGGGAGTGAGTAAGAGTACTAGATACAACAAAGCAGGCACCCAGAATAGGAATGAACCGAGGTTTTCAGATGTGGAAATAAAAACATCAACAATTGTCATAGAAAAAATAATTTTTTGGCCCAGACTGAGTGTCAAAAAACCAAAAATTAATATTGTTGCTTTCATGCCCTATGCCATATTGTGCACATTCATCAGGGCTATAAACTTACAGTGAGGGGTAAGGAGTTTCCATTTAATGAAGACAATAGGTAGCCAGTGCAGTAAGGCTTAAAACTCAAAGAGAGGAAATGAATCATCCAAGGTTGTGCAGCTTTGAAGTAACAGTTTAGAACTGAAGATGTTTTCACACTTGCACTGCCTCTACCATATCTTATATTTCCTACAGTGGAAGTCTGTAAAAATATGTCTTTCCTCTATATTACCTAATTTAATTTCACCCTCTGATCTCTGGCCATTACTTTGTGCACAGATGATAGGATGAAAATGGGAATAACCCCAAAAGATCATTTGAGCCAAATATCTCTTCTTTTTTTTCCATCTACTTAAACTGAGATAAGCAAAACTCATTTTTGGAAGAGAACTGAAACTAAACCTTGTTTCCTGATCACGAACTCATGCCTCTTTTTGTTATAAACTATGTAAAACCATAAATGTACGTAAACATAGGCTCCATTCAAGAAGGATTTAGTACTGCATGATAAGAAAAGCTTACATCAGTTTCTTGAAGAATAATCTGAAATGAGAATGACTTTCAATTATATATATTTAAGGGATTTTTTTTTTTTACCAAATTTGGTGGTAGAAGACGCACAAATTAAACTATGCAAATAAAATCCTAAAAATCACTAGGTAGTCAGTATTGTTTATAAAAATTTTTATATTTCAAGCAAAGACTTCTAAATTTATATTTATATTTCAAGTGAAGATTATGTTTCTTTTCCTTTCCAAAATGAAGTAACTGTTCTCAAAAGAAAAATCAAGTTTTTCTAGTTCTAAAGGAAGTTGGGGTCCCAAATAAAGTTAGAACAAATTGAAATTCAGTTCTGTATGTTCAGACTACTATCATCATGAAAAAAAAGTATCAATGAGGAAACAAAATATATCTTTATAAGTTAAAAAAAGTAAATGCACATTCAATTGCATATTAAGCTACACTGTAAGTACATAGCAGGAACTGTATGCTATGAATTCAAAAATCACAAACTCTCTAAAGACTGAATTTGCTACATGTCAACATGTTCCAAAGCTTAAAATTTAACTATTTCCTATAAAATGTAGTAAATAATTGTAGCAAGTGTGAAAATTTTTCATCATTAATTTCTGTAATATTCCATATAATATAGCAGTGTAGGTCAATTTAAGTTCTCATATTGCAGGTTTTGAGTAAACAAATCTCTCATTTAAAAACCAGTACCAAATATGCTTAGGATCATGGATAGCCATGACAATGGTAGGGATGTCATTGCTGAGAACTTCTGGGAAAGATATCTAGTTGTAGTACATTGCACAAATGTACACATACACCTATATGATGTATATAGGCAAGCATGTATGTGAACTTTATGAATTGTTAAGGTGGGAAGTAATGTGGAATAATTTGATATAAAAACTACCACCATCACCACTACCAAAAACAACAACAACAATAACAACAAATAAACAAACCAAGCTTCAATGTACTACTATCTTTGCCATAACCAAAAGTTTGGTCTGATCTTCTTCCAGGTACCAATTAGGGTAAAATTCAGTAGTTATGGGCTAACACCAAAGAAAAAAATTTAAACAGAGAAGTTCCTTGGTGTTGGCAATGTGTAGAATGGTGTCATAGTGAAAAATGCATCACTATGGATATTGGAGAAATGAAAAGCAAATCAACTGCAGAGTAGGGCCTCTCACCTCTTGCCTGTCGACCAGGCCCACAGCCTTCCTGTGCTCCAGGGATGTCCTGTTGTATGCTCCAAGGGACTAACTGGCATCTGCGCCATTTGTGAGTCTTCCATCTATGAATAAAGAATAGAAGTTCAGTGAAGAAGGAAAATCACAGAGAGCAGCAAAATAAATGACTTTGACCATTGTAAATAGGAGGTTTGCAACTATGATCAGTCCTATCTAAGTGTAATGTATATATTTGTTAAGTCATTAAATATAAATATATTTTATGGTATTGAAGACAAGAGTATTTCATTGCCAATTCTATAGAAATGGACTCTGCAGAGAGCTATAAAGGGCATTTAGACTTTTTAATTATTCAGACTGCCAAGAGGTGCACCACCTAGTACCAGAAGTGTATTCCGTTTAAGTAAGTTGTGTTTATTTGCATTCAAGTTATGAAACTGCATTCGGGTCATGAGTCTTTTGTATAATGCTCTTTTGACTACAGTACTCCAGGAGTAGTTCAACAACTGAAATTTTAATGTGCTTTTACAAAAACCAGTTTCAAAAATGATTAAGTTTGTGCTACTAGTTGACAATGTTCATGATGTGAATATACAGGTAGACTATTTGTCATCTCAGAAAGACAGATGTATTAAGATGGMAAATATGCCATAAATTTCCATTTAAATTATTATTTGTTCCATTAATTGATGCCACAGTATTTCACTTGTTGTCAGGATTGCAATTGTGTACTACATCAAGTTTCAATTAGAAACTTTAAGTCTGAATAGCAAGGAATCCAAATTTCTCTAATAAATTATCAAGTTGATATAGAGCTTCAATAACCACAGTTTTCTTTGGGATGATCACAGATGCACTGAGCAGACATTTTACTGGCATCATTGACATAGCAATGTCATTTCCTGAGCCAGAATACCACTGCTTATGAGAAACAGGTGCTCTTTGGAGCCAGGGGAAAAATGCTTAGGCTATTCTCCTACGTGAAATAGAAACGGCTTCCTAAAGCATATGTGTTTCATAATTATTAACCACTTCTTTGCATTTCAAATACTTTATATCAACCTAAGACATTTCCCCTAACCACTGGAGCTAATAACACAGATGGGAAATTTACACAAGCATTTGCCTCCTAGGAGATAATTTCAGAAGTGGAGCAGCTCCACTCCATAGAGACAGGAATGGCAGCTACAGCCATAAACATCCCAAACTGCATTGAGTCTGAAGAAGAAGCAGTGTTGGCTTCCTTTCTACCCTGTCTGGAAGCATATGGACTGGAAGTCCTTCTGAGGGCGTCCCTTGCTTTGGTTTTTCTCTATTACCTGTAGCTCTGACACACTTGAGGGGCCTCGCAGGCCTTCTCTTCATAGAGAGGATCCGTGCAGTCCCGGCCTCCATTGGCTGGCAGCTGAATAATGACCCGAAGCCGAGACTGCTTCCTGACTCCCAAGTCACCTGGAATGAGGCAGCTTTTTAACCTTTGTACTTTTGCATGGATAAAAGAGTCTCCAACCACTCTGTGAGAAGAAATTGTATTGTCTAAGCCACCTGTGCTTTGACATCCCCGAATGAGAGGCCTCAGCCAGTCCAATCAATTCTCCCAAAGACCATTTATATTGAAAAGCCAATTAATTTCCATTTTAAAATTTGAAGAATGAAGAAAAGTTCCTCAGTCTTCCTAATATGCAGAGTAATTGCTCTTTTGTATATTTCTGTCCTCTTGAGAAACATGACAGATCTAATTAAATTATTTTCTTCTACCTTAAGTTTATTTTCATGCCATTTCACGTAGCCTTGTTTACCACATGGGACTCATACACACATAATGAATCTTCCGTAGGAGGACACATTCAATGTTATAATGTGAAATTTTATTTCTTTGTTATTCACTTAATTTGAAATGCATAACTTGTAAATTATCCCGGTCATTTAGTATTCATGTTAAACAGACAAAGATCTTCAATTCAGGTCACATTCTAAACATCAGGCTCTAAGTAGTGAAATGAAAGTGAGGTCCTGGAGGCAGATATTTTTAGAGAAGCAGTCAGAAACTGCAATAATTACTGTAAGTAAATAACTCCAAATTATGTTTTAAAAATGGAAAAAGTTAAGATTTACCTTCAACAAAGCTATCCATTTGACAGTATTATTGATGAAAGGATGTTCAACATCTTAAAAATTAGAAACAGATGGATAGGATTTGCCAATTTTAATAAAACATATTTCAATATATAATTTATATACCTCTTAAGGATGAACAGTCACTGATACAGTTCACTTACAAAAGAAGTCCCTTAGGCATTATGTTGTTAGATAACATAATTTCCTGATGCATATACATTCTTTTGTGAGAACATGAAATATTTGCTTCATAGATATTTGCTACAGGGGAATTTTAAAGGTTAACAGCCCCCAACAAAGTTTAATCAGAAGTGAAATGAAATATTTGTAGTCATTGTGATTGTAAAAAAAAAAATGCAGTTTGACAATTAAACTTTCCCACAATGGACTGTCCTCTCTCCTGAAGTCAAGATGTCCCTTAACATGGTCAGGCCAACTGACTCCAACCATTATTAGAGAGGATGCATGCACTGCATGGAAGAGTGGACCAGATCAGTGATTCCTGAATGTCTGACTATACAGAAGAACCTGTCTTAAAACAACAGCAATACAAACAACAGATTTCTGGGCCTATGCCTATAACTATTAAGTCTGATTTTTTTAAAAAGTTTTCCAAGAAATGGTGATGAAGAATCAGGTTTGGAATCTCCTGGAAGACGACCTTGTCTGTCTTGTCCCAATTTAAGATTCTGGGTTCACATGCAACTATTTAGGATTACTCCCACTGTSGGGGAAAAGCTGTACTATTAATGATTATATTAAACTATTTTAATGAATAATTGGAATACTATAAGTAATGGAGTAGGGAATTGGGAGCTGGAAATATTGGCAATAGAGAATTAAATTATTTGAAATAGTGTCATGGGCTTTTTATTGTAACAATACTAGTTTGTATGCCAGCTCTGACTTTTATATGTTTAATATGATTTATTCAGGGAAAATCTAAGAAATGTCAATAGGAATTTAAATAAATTGCTAATGTAGTCTTCATCTACTGTACTGTCCAAGTGTCTCCTATTTGAAGACCAGGTGATAATTTCCTCTAATAATTAAAAGCTAGAAAAGAATTTTGTTTCCCTTGATAATCTGCTAAGAATCCATTATGTTTCTATTTTTCACTTTGGTCATGAGAATCTCAGAGCTAATTTTCTCAATTGCAAGGGCTTACCTTAACTGGATTTTCTCATGGAATCTTTCTCTTCCTGTCCCCTTCACTCCTCCCCCAGTCCCTACCTGGCTTTACCCTTCTTTTCTAATTTGTATTATTTTTTCTTGTGTCTGATGTTTAGGATCTATCTTTAATCTTTGTGATAGTACAAGCACTAAGTGACCATTCTCATCATCTGTTCAGCACTGGCAGAAGGATGGAGTTATTTTTATTATTTTAACAGGAAAAAAGAGAAAAAAGGCACAAATAGTCTTTAGTTTTCAAAGTGGTCAAGATTCTTCAAGGAAGCCCTCCCCAACCCTTCTCAACATGCATAGAATTTAGACATGGGATTATGACCAAGGGATCCCTGAATAGGAGGGGACAATGCGCTCAGCACAGAAGCTCCTACTCATTCACTGCTTAGATGTTACCTCATACATAGAGATGGCTGTTTCAATTTTGGAAGCAGCGACCAAATGTTAGTGTTTTGATTCTGTTTTGTTTTCTACTTGCAAAAACAAAAATATGACCTACTGTACAACTCTGAAATATTCTTCTAAGTGCCTTCTTATCACCAACCTCAAGGTTTTACACAAAAAAGACTCTGACTATTCTTTTTACATCCTTAACTGATTCCTCAATATCAATTTATTTATTATTATAAAAAGCTCAGATTCCTTACCCTGTGCAGCCCACAATATAGAGATTGTGATCTGATTAAAGTGGAATGCTTCAAAGCCACAGTACACAGAGAGGAAGTTTAGTGGGGTTACACAGGAAGTGTCATGACATCCATGCTTCTACCCAGTGTGTGGGGAGGTCTGTGTCTTCTCAGGTTACAGTTATAAATAAATCACTTCCGACTCAAAGTAATCGCACTATAGGTCTCAGTCAGGTTATGGAGGTTTCAGATCAGAGCCCAGAAAAAGGGAGAGCCATAACACACATTAAATAAGAAAAATGGAAAGGTCTTGCTTTCACAGTTTTCTATATGTATTTATTCCCAATTTATGATGTGCAGTTAATATATGTATAGAGTTTCCATTCATCTTTGTGTTTTAGTACATACAACAGTAATCATACACAGTAGTGTTTAATAAATATTTGCAGAAAGAGCAAACACATTTATTTCACATTTTTAACCAGAATATTAATATCTTTTATTTCTAGATAGAAATTTAATTCCCTTAATGTAATAAAGGGTATATTAAGTATGTGCCTTGAGGATTAACCAAAAATCAAAAATATTTCCCTCCATAGGAAATATGAAAATATAAAGAATATGAAAGGCAACTGCCTGTTGTGTTTATACTTGAAAATACCTATCTAGGATAGGAATAGAAGAAACTAATTATGTGATGATAGAGGACACAGATTCAGAGGGTACACAATTTCTAACAGTCATGGCATTTTTTAGATATCTTAAGACATTCAAGGCATATTTTAACACAGAAATTACTAGAATGAAGGATTTAAAGGTCAGGTAAAACAGATTCATTAAGCTAGAAGTGGGAATAATAGCTGGTTGGAGTGGCATARTGACAGGAAATTCAAAGGGTACTGTTTCATGTAAGAAGCAAAATATAAAGACAGTTTTCAGATCTTTGGGAGTAATTCTAGTGTATGATTGATTCACGGGATGAGGTATCTAGGTTTCAAGGCAATACATGCAATGAGAAATAAGAAAGGTGTAAACAGAATTTGTGCAACCAAATATATTATTTGATCAAAAGTACTTATTTTATTTTAAGAGTCAAGTTATAAATAATTTGTACACAGAAATTATTTCTACTTTCAAAGGCCCTTTGTGAAAATTTATGAAAAAAAGTTAAAAGTTAACAAATGCTGGTTTGAGTATCATACTACATTCTATTCAATACTGATCTTTATCAGCATTGATTTTTCAGGCATGTCTTGGGAGAGAACTGAATCACATTTCAAGTAACTCTATTTGTTCTTCTTGGAATCCTAAAACTATTATGTTTTACTTTCTGCAAAACTATAGTGTAATTTTATCTCTTTTAAATGATTTTACAAAGGAGAGTAGCTCCACATTTTAACAAGCTCAAAACTTTTATAAAATTTAGACCTAACCTGCAGAATTAAATTAAAAAATCCCCACCTTAATTTTTTTTATTGTTATTACCTATCCTTGAACACTCAACTTTGTTCAGCATTTTTTAAAGTGTGGAAGTCAGTGTGACTTCAGGAACTTTTGCATTATTCCCATTTCTTACCAAATAATGGAAAAATTAACTTCATGCCATTGCTTTACTTTCTGCACAACAACAAAAGACTATCTTTCTATAATGCCRTTGTCTCCTTATGCTCAGATATAGCACTCTGCAGGCAAAACAGAAAATGCTTTTTCAGGACCATAAAAGTTCTTGGCACTGTCATCCAATAATCAACTCTTTCATCACCCATAGAATTAAAAAAAAATTCCTCCATGCACAATTAGAGTTATTCTTTTTAAATCTAAATGACTAGGTTTAGGGTTTCAGAAAATTTTTTGTTTTAGGAGACTGAGAATAGAGTTGTCAAATAAAGCAGGCAGGGCTGATCTCCTGTTCCTAGGGAGATGACCTTGGCTAGCCAAATATAACTCCACCTTTCATAAAAACTCTTGCTTCCTTACAAGCAGATTTCCTGAGTTGGCTCTTGCACTCCTTGTCCAAAGGAAATCCAGGGCAGATTAGTCTCCAAGGGACACCATGAATTTCTGCTTACAGCAGTTAACCTCATCCCTGAAGAGACCAGCCCAACTGAACTCATTATGTGTCACATGACCACAAGAAATGGACCCTCTGCAGCCCCCTAGTCATTTCATYATTTCCCAGACCCACCACACTATCTACATGCTAATCTGATACAAGTTCTCATTCCATCCTCTCACCCTTCCATTACTGCATCCATTGGGATACCTGGTCTCTCATCTTCAATCTCTTCTTGGAAAGTTGCTTTCACATTCTTTGCCAGTGGAAACTGTTCCAGCTATTTCCTCTTCTTTTATCATCCTTTTACCTTTAAGAATCTCCAACTCCTCTAAGCTCCTGACAGCTATCCAGCTTGTGGCTGTTGCCTTGAGATACTTGGTTAGTTGGTGACCTTAGAATATCCTTCACTGTAATCCTTTCTCTTCCACTTCTGTCCTCATTTTGGGGTCTTTTATATCTACATGACTTACTCCATTTAAGGCCCTGGACTCTAAATTATTATACCTCCTCATATTCAATCAATTTCTCTTGTATCTTATGTCAGTTATTCACTCCACTATTCATCCCTTGACATAATTATGATCAGTAACTATATAGTCTCATCTTTGAACATTTAACTTTCTGACCATTCCTCCCCACCTTCCAATTTGACTACTTTAATTCTTTTCGTACTAAAATTTTCAAACTCACTGAGATTGCTATTCATTTTCCCTATTACATTTTCACAATCTAGTCACATCTTCATGACTTCACTTCCATCCTGACTCAAGTTAGTTTTCATTCTTCATTACTATTTTAAGTACTCTTTACAAACACTTTTGACTTTTGACTCTGTTCTCTCTCCCTTTCTTGAACTGTACTGGGAAAGCCCTAACTAATCAAAAGTAATTATTTTCCCACTGTTTTCTGTACCAAGGCAGCTGAATATGGCTGGAGAAACTGACAACTGTGTTGAGATATCTCTTCCCATATATGACTGAATGAGCACTGACGTTTAAAAATTCTACCACATATTACAAAGTTGCCTATTTTTTCCCTTTCAAAAATGATAACACTTCTTTTTTCTCAATCCCTTTCCCTTCACTTGATCCTTGAGGTCAGTAGATAATCTTCCTTTGTACTCATTGAGAGATTAGAAGAATAATTCTGTGCCTTGTCTTTCCCATACCACTAGGATGCAAGTTTCCTAAGAGCAAGAATATTAGGTTCCTCTGGATTGCTAATTCCTTATATTTAAAATCACCCTTGGAACATTGTATTTTCTTGAAAACTGTTGTAGAATTAAAAAAAATGATTGCTTCAAATTATATATGTGATCTTTAAGGAGGCAATGGAGCTTTTAAAAATAATTTGTAGCTGGGCATGTTTGTGCACACCTGTAATCCCAGCAACTCTGGACTCTGAKGCAGGAGGATCACACTTTACCAAGACTCTTGGTAATAACTATTTTTTTTTTAAAAAGGACAGGGAATGTTGCTCAGTGGTAAAGCTTCCTTGTCCCTTCTACAATTACTACTACTACTACTACTACTACTACTACTACTACTACTACTGTTAATGTTACTAACAACAACAACAACAACAATAAAAATCAGTAAATTTATCAGCAAATTTCCAATGAATAACTGGTTAAAAATTTTGATCCATAAGTTTTATTATTATCTAAATTATTTTCCCACATATATCTAATTAAACTTCTCAGAAAGATTGCATTCAGCATGCCAAATTAAAACATTTACCAGATGATAACCACACACAGGCTGCTGTGCCTTTCCTATACGAGCCTGTAATCATGATGGGATAGATGGCAGATAATATATTAATTAAATGGTGGCTAAAGAATAGAGAGCTTTACCATGGATTAGTTCATTTGAGCCATGGAATGACTTACAGGTTTTATAACCAAGGCTTGGAGGACTATAGTATTTTGTCTATGGTAATCTGGCTACCAAGTGGCCAAGCCAGGTGTTCAAACCAGATCTGCTGATTCAAAGTTCACTTGTTCTGTAATATCATGAAGTCAAATACTCATTTCTGTGTCCAAAAATAGAAAGTTATGTTCTGCTGTGTATCAGAGTAAGTTCAATTCACTCTTCCATTAGTTGCTTCCATTCTCCTTTCTAATTTCACATAAGCACTTTCCCCAAAACACTCTCTCTCTAAAAACACTGTACTTTTTACATGGTCACCTGGGAATTTCCTGATGCCCCCATGCTTGGAATTTATGTGGTTCCTCTTTCAAAAAGATCTCATACCTCCCTTTCAATAATATTTTCCCTAGTATTTGCTCTCACAATGATTGGAAACTTTCCCTTCCTTAGAGTTGTTTGACCACTAAATCTTGTTATTGAATCACACAAGCTCTACATTATCTGGTCTATATAGAAGAGTACTACATTTCAAATGAAATCCAAAGTTTCCTTTAAGTCAGGGACTATTTTCTTTATAAGACCATTTTTTGTTTTAATTATAAACAGTATTAAATGATTCAATAAGTATTCATGTATACATGTAAAAATGAGTAATTATTTAGTTAACAAATTTATAGCATTCACTATTTATTTATTTGTTCAGTTTACTGAAAATGTTTTTTAAAAGTCCATTATTTGAGTTGTCGCATTTTAACACATAATTTTTTAATATTATTAATGATCAAACAGAAAGGAGGAAATCATGTTCTTTTTACTATGAAATCCACAAATTTAGAGTTTATGCTAATTGAATTTTAATTATAGTATTTTTATGAATATAATATTGTATTTTTATATTTTACTTTTATTTACAGACACTTAGAGACACATATAATATATAATAAAAGAAGTTTCAAGAACTTACAGGGAACAGGACTATAGCACAGTAGTAGCACCCTGGTCTGGTATGCACAAGGCTCTTGTGTAACAGACAAACAAATACAAAACCAGTCTCACAGAAAAAAGTTAATAGGCTATTAAAATAGCTCCAATTAAGGTTTAGAGATGAGAAAAGTTTACCTGATTCCTTTTTTCTTTGTGTGTGGGAGAGTATCAGGGATTGAACTCAGGGACACTAGACCACTGAGCCACATCCCCAGCCCTATTTTGTATTTTATTTAGAGACAGGGTCTCACTGAGTTGCCTAGCACCTCACTTTTGCTGAGGCTGGCTTTGAACTCAGGATCCTCCTGCCTCATCCTCCTGAGCCACTGGGATTATAGACATGCACCACCGAACCTGGCCTGATTCCCTATTTTTATGAGTGATTATTCAAGAATCAATTTAATGGAAAATTTATTTTTTTAACTTTATTTCCTTAAAATGCTTTCGAAGAGATCAACTTAATTTGAAAGTACTTTACATTATACAAGGACCTATCCAACATAAGGAAAAGACAGGCTTTTCTTACTTTCAAAAATTTCACTTAAAATTTATGTTAAATTATTAATCATTTGGTTATAAATATGACATGTTTTGAAATTCTAAGTAACTTATACTAAAGCAAAACAAAAAAGTGAAAAAACATTAAGAATAAAATTTATAAGTACATTAATTCTATATGATAACTTTTTCACCACCCTGATGTATAAGCGACAATTAACACAGACATACTAACCTATATGAAAGCATAATGCTCTTGCTGGTTGTGACCAAGCAAAAGAACATCATATGTTATTTAGATTTGAATAAAAGAATATAAAGGAATAAGAAGAAAATTGGAAAAAATGTCAGACAATCACATTGTTTTATTAGTAAGCTTATGTCATTAACATTTTTCCAAGCTAATACCTTCCTTTTTCCTCAAAAGCTGCATAGGTTCTCAAGACTTTTAAAATAAAAAAAATTCTTAGTCTTGCTCAGTTTGATATTTAAGGCTATTTGATAGAATAAACATAAAAACAAAAGAGACTTATGTGTCAACTTTATGAAATGCTAATCATATTGTAAAAATAATCCAGTATTAAATTTATATGCTCTAAAGGATTAAATAACTTTTTGTCAGTTAGATACTTGTTAATTGCATTTCTTTAGTGAGTCGAGAAGCATAGATAAAACACAAACATAAAAGGAATTTAAGAAACATTAGCTCTGYCTGTTGGGAGAGCAAAATAAGAAATAGGAGACAGTGTCATTTGTGACACTGAGAGAAAATTTGCTCAGTCATTACAGAAGTCACCTGGAGTATTCTGATACCTTCCCCAGCAGCAATGAGAAAAGCCTCTGTTCTCCAAGGTAAGGAAAAAACTATCAAAGAATCTGCCATGACACGAAAGAGACTTTGTAAGTCATGAAAGCAAAACCAACCTAAACTGAGAACAAATGCTCATCTTGTAAATACCTCATGGCACATTAAGCATTGGCAGAGAAACAATTTGGCCAATTTTCTCTTCCTTTATTTCCAATCTTGGAGCCACATAATTCAATCTGTAGCAAATCCAGTCTCATGCTATTTCTTGCTAGTAAGTAGGTTGGAAGCCATGTGTACTGATAAGATCACTGTATATTATTTTTAGAATCTGGAAGACCAGTATACATACTTTTAGAATTAAGTAAAATCAAATATTATTAATACAATAAARTCTAGAATGCTTTTACTTTGATCTATATCATAAAATTTCAAGTCAGTTTTTGGTATAAAACTCATTTGTCTGGTACTCTAATGCAATACATTTCCAGAGGAAAACCAAAATGTTATGGCATTCATGCCAAACCAGGACTATAACAGCCCTCTGTAAGGAAACAGGAGAGGGTATTATTTGTGACACGGAAAGAAAATTTGCTCAGTTATTTGCATAAGTCACCCAGAGGGTATTGATATCTTTCCCAGCAGTAACGAGAAAAGACCCACAAACAAGACTTGGTCAGAAGAATCTGGAAGTTCTGTTGAATGCATTTTTCTAAGGAAAAAGCTGAAGAAACTCTGCAGACCATACCTTCTCTACAGGAGGAGGGGCATGGTGTCCAGTCACTATATGGTGTTACAATACAGTCTTTCCTACAAGGAAGCAGACAAGGCCTCACGGTTTCAGGCCGAAGGCTTTCAGGACATCTAGAAAAAGAAAAGAGAAATTATTAGGGCTCCACAGTAAGCCAGATGACTTAACTTTAGAATTTTCACTGCCAAAATTGTCAAATCACCATCAGTCTGTATTATTTAACTTCTGACAGCCTTTCTACTTTTGTCAAGAACCATTTAACTCAGTTAATTATTTCAAATTGTATTTCAGTAAAACTTTTTAAGACAGAATGTGTAGATTTCAGGGTAGCACCTGTGCTACCTAGAATCAAATATAACAATTCTATGTTCTCCCGTTATAATAATCTCTCCATCAATAAATATGTGTTTTCTTTCATGCTTTATAAAAAATTTTGTAGGAATTCAGGTGACCAATTTAAGGATCCAATTTTATATCTCTCTATAATTAAATAGGTTTTGTGCCTATTATGAATTTCCAAGTTATTCTATATTTCTTTTTTACAAAATATGCATACCTTTAAACAAATTTATAATAAAGTATATTCTTTACACAGTTCATGCTCAAAAACAATATTGTATTAACAGTAATATATTTTATAATAAATAATAAAATAAAAATTCATAAACCATTATTTTTCCTGGTTTCATTTACTGTATTGATTTTTATTTTCTCTTCCATTTTGTACCTAGTTTTAGAGATTTAAATATTTTTAATTTTTTATAAGCTAAAATATCTTTTCTGGAACAAAAAGTGACTATAGATAAAATAAAAAGTCAATAAAAATAAATTGGTAATCAGTAACAAAGAAGATTTTAAAGTATCCTTTGTGGGAGATGTTTTCAGAACTGAACTATAAGTGAAAAAAAATCAACACCATTAACCTAATTTCTTTATAGCATTCTACAGACATTTTATTTTTTATATATCTGACAATATTTATCTAAAAACCTTTCAAATACATAAATATCATGCTTTATTCAATTGTATAGATATATGTTCTTTCTTACTTTAAAATAGTTAGGCTTATTTGGAAGTGGATTTTAAAAATATATAGTATTCAATATTTCAAAAAACTAATCTCTCTGGTTTACATTGAGGGTAATTTTGGATTTTCCTCATTACAATGACTATTCAAAGTCATGGACAACAAGAAATTTAAGTGTGGAACATATAAGCTGATTGTGGTGCTATAATTCAAATTGTAAATCACTAGAATTATAACTTTACTGCATGCCAGGAAATGTTATACGGCAAAATCTCACATGTAATCCAGTTAATTCTTTTGGGACTATGGAATCATTGGTCAGTAATTATTATTGAAAGCACTCCTTTTCAATGAGGCAATTTTATAACTTTAACAATGGGAGGGCATTACTCAATTGCATGGTCTTCAAATATTAGTCCTGAATAAATCAATGGGATTTACAATCTTATCATTGACAAACTCCAAATATTGTTTTAGCTTAGAAATAGCCACAGCAAGATACTTGGCTGACTGTGGAGAACAAAATTACTAACCACAAAGTTGTTAAATGAACACACAAAGATAAATTATACAGCCTAGATTAGATTCAATAAAATGAATTCAGACTTCCTTTGGTGAGGCAATTGGTTCAGTCAACATGTTCCTTTTCTCCCTTGTACTGTTTGTATTTAGTGTTTGTGGTTTAAATCAAGAAATCGATTTTCCCCCAAATCTTATTCAAGGTCAAATTAAACAGATGTGATAGGAGTTGAAGTTTGTTACTTGGAAGGATAGATAAGATCAATAACATTGATTTTACCATTGCACAGTAATCTATTTTATTAAGAGAAGTTTAAAACAAGCTTTCTATTTGCATTTTTGTTTCAAATGACTGGTATTGCAAAGCATTCATTGAATTTAACCCAGCATTTAGGGAGAAGGGCAATAACATTTTCTTTCAAATTCAAAGTACTTGCTTAATTTTCCRGAATTTTAAGGGCAAAGTAAATCCATTCGATTTAACAAATCTATAGATGTATTCAGGTCATTGAATACAGGCTGCAAATGCAAAGCAACTTTTTAATGAATTATTGTGGTGGTCCAACACGGGACTTTCATGATTKATTCAATGATCTTAATCCAGCAGTCTCCTTTAAGCATAGGCCTGTACACATGTACATCAATTAGCCTGCAAAAAAAAAAAAAAATGTGTAGTTTGTCTAAGTGAAGGAAATGTCAACAACAACTTCTGAAAGGTGACTAACTGTACAAACACATACAGAGTAAGAGAGTGAGCTTACTGTCCAGAGCATAATAACCCTCATCATGCACCACTGAAGGTTGTCCCTGCCCCTCTCTAGTGAATTTTCCTACCTTTGTTCTAATTCCAGTAAGAGGATGATATCATCAATAGTAAATTCTGATTTGGAAGGGGTGTGAGGACTATTAGCAAGTAATCAGCTCTTCACATTACTTTAGAAAATCACARAATAAATTTCTGAACTGCTAAAAAATAAAAAAGTAAATTAAATACATTCTAGGTGTCTGGGGAACAAAAAAAAGAACCAGGATCTTCCAGGACTTTGGACTTTCTTCTGCTGCTACCACCACTGAATTTTAACACACTGTACATTCATTTCCTGAGTTGGATTCATCAGACACTTATAATATTAAAATATTAGTTTGGGGCTACTCTCAAGCACACAGAAAAGACTCAATTTATCAAATCACTTTGGTATACATTTTCCAATATATTTTCAAATTTCAAATGATATAAATGAAAAAATTATTGGGCTAAAAGCATCTCTAATATCTGAAGCCTTAGCCAGATAAAACAACTCATAATGGGGTTCTTATTTATCACTCTGGAGTTTTCCATATACCAGATAAATTATTTTCATTTCCTTGGAAAGACTAGGAAGAATCTAAAAATTATAAGAGAAAATAACAATTTCTAACATTTATTGTGTGATTGTATTAGTAATCTTTTTCATTAAATCCTTTCAGTAYATTTTGAAAATTGAGACCAGAATTAGGTAGGTCCTAACTAATTAAGATCACCCACAATATTTGACCACTTGGCAGATTATTTGGAAAATATGAGAACATATGTATACCTTGATAGCCATACCCATGTTTCATAGCTGAGAGGATCTGAATTTTTGAAAATTTATGCTCTCTAAATTTCAAAAAATAAATTTCTTTCTCTCAAAAGAATAGATCTTAGATTTTATTTATTAATTTTCTCTTGCTTTGTTTATATTTCTCACAGGGCATATATAATATGCCAACTCTCTGGTTCTTGGTCCTACCTTCTAGAAAATGGTTGTTTTGTTATAAAACTATTTGTAACAATCCTGAGAAACTGATAGCTTTTTTTTTTTTTTTTATCATAATACTCATTCTGTCTCAAGGCTCTCTCTTGGAAGTAAATGGCTTATTCATTTAACCACTGGTGGATATAACAAGTTTGGTCTCCATATTTTTATATGGTATTTTCTAGGGAAAATGAAAGGCAGGTCACAGAAGGCTACCACCCAATTAAAGTAGATCGGCAGCCTCCATAACCTCCGGATATATAGGAGGTCATGGATGAACTACACTCCTAGAAYTCTGTTCTGTCATTACTGATCAGCCAGGCCTACAGCAAGTACTTCTTTCATTGCCTCGCTAGCTTAATAAAAGCAGAAAGTGCTTCTATAAACAAAGTCGGTACCAGATAGAAAGATTCCTATAGAATTTATGTTTCTCAGGTAGAAGACTCCAAAGCTGTTACAGATTTATCAGCAGCTGACATTCAAAACAAACAAATCTTACTCTTGAGGACAGGTATGACATGCATCAAAATGTTCCATTTCATGAAGCAAGTGAAGCCTGAGCCAATCCTCTGCATGGCTGACCAGAGGATTTACTGCTGTCTTTCTAAAGCCCTTACTTTTTGGGTCCCACTTGGCCCACATTGACTCGTACACAGATAACTTTTCTTGTCTGCATGCCAACAGAGCACGAAGCCTCTCCATTCCAAGTCGTAGTCGTGTTGAAGGATGACACTGAGGTGTCCTCGATGCATTGGCCCCACGGACCAGTTTGCCAGTGGTACACAGTACAGGGATGCTCATTACAGCTGCGCACCTCTTGCAGAGCACTGGTGTTTGGACAGCGAATTCCACCTGTAAAAATGGACAGTGRTAGCAGATGAAATGGAGAGCCAACAGGAACCTTCCCATTCTCTGCTCCTTGGAACAAACAGGGTGAACAACAATGATAACTGCTACTTATTTAGCATATAGCATGTTACTAGCACAATGTTAGGAAGTCATATTACATATTTCTAGCTTAATCTAGCTTAAAATACAAAGTATGTGGTAGACGTGATACTTGCTTTTGAAGACTATGGGCAACCTTTAAGAATGAGGCCGTTGTTCTACAGAGAAGTTGAACATGAGGTGCAAAGAAGCCATGTGATTGCTAATTAGAAGAAACAGGTGCGTTGAGACTCTGTGCTTGAAGAAAACTGAGTGTGCTTATAAATGTTATCCCCCAAATTGAAAGTCTTAATTACAGGTTTTAAGGTACTACTTATATTAATGTTTAAGGTTTTAGGCTGATTAGATATAGGAACGTTAAAATCGAATGATACTTTTTGATCTTCCAAAACATTACTGGAAAAGCCACTAAGTAATGATAATATTACATTTCTTCAAATCTAGATGTCATTGRCTGTGCAATGTATTGTATGTCCCAAAGGAAAAAAAATGGATGAAAATTAAACTATGAAAAAATACTTTCTTCTAAACCCTAGTTTTTATTATGTGCTTATTGAAATACCTTCCTGCGACTTATATAGTTTGATATCACAGTTTTGTACACATTAAAAGGAAATATATTCCAAAAAGTTGCATTCAGAATTAAGATCTTATGAGTCACTTTTTAACTCGTACTCCTTGAAGTGTGTGTTCTCCTACACTGCATCATTTTCTGTGACTTCAAAGGTGTGGGTGACACAGAATTTCTTTTTTTCTATTGGTACCAGGGATTGAACTCAGKGGCACTCGACCACTGAGCCACAYCCCCAGCCCTTTTTTGTATTTTATTTAGARACAGGGTCTCACTGAGTTGCTTAGTGCCTCCCTGTTGCTGAGGCTGGCTTTGAACTCGAGATCTTCCTGTCTTAGCCTCCTGAGTCACTTGCATTACAGGTGTACCCTACCATGCCTGGCTCAGAATTTCTTAAAAAAAGTTCATTTTTGCCATCTCCAGAATTTTCTTCCAGGATACTGATACTCATCTCTAGGCTCTGATACTTTTGTATTCTTAATTGTCACAAAGGTGTCAATAAAATCTTAAGCAAGCAACTAAAATTTCTTTTCCTTCCTCCAGTGGTCCTTAGCTGTTTTTGATCATCTGTGTTTTGGCAGAAGCAACATGGGATTGCAATTTCCACCAGGAATAACACAGAAGTTTACATACATAACAACTATGTCATTAACTTGGCCATAGCAGTTTTAAGATCCACACAATRATTTTAGAGATGTTAAAGGGCAAAACAGATCCAACTTTTTAAATCAATGGAATATGGTGTGGGGATTATTATCCTGAAATCTTTTTTTATGTGCTAGCTGCATTATAAGTACTCCACGATGAGGCCTCATTTTGTGTTCACAATTGTCATATGAGTTAAAAAATATTGAGTGGATGAGCTCCAACAGATTAAATGATGTGACCATTGTAATGATGAGGAATTTAGAAGTCCAGTTTCTTAATACTGCTATTTCTGATGCCAATTATGAAAGTGAAAAGTCTTATGTTGTTAAGCTAGGGACCTGGAGGAATTTGTTGCTCACTTTATTGACAGTTTGATTCCAGTGGCCACACCCTAAGCTGAGCTTCACGTGTCTCCTCCTTTATGTTTAAGGACATCTCTCTACTTGGCATATAAATCAGTAGGCTGTATATGTGAGAATTTCATGGCAATTTAGAATCATTTATGCAGTGTTGAATGTGGTCTCAATATCAGAACAACCTGCATTAAACAGCATTTCATTAATGTTCCCTGCTTCATGAAGGTGAAACCATCTGTCACAGTTCATATCCTATCTTCCATCATATAGCTCCGTGACCCCAGCAGTTCCTGCAAAGAAGTTTAGAATTTGAATAGAAATGAATCTTAAAACACACTAATTGGATTGGGGAAAAGTAAATGAGCACTCATATTACTCATTCCCTGAGGCGCCAGATTTATTCACTCTTAATTCTCAAGCACGTGTTTATATATATATATATATATATATATATATATATATATATATATACACACACACACACACATATACACACATGCACATACATAACATTATTTTAACAGTCCTTTATATATAATACTAAATTAATAAGCTTCCACCCAAAATATGCTTGTTTACTTACACTACTTTCATTGTGAACATATGTATGCTATTTAAACTGTGATTTTAAAACTCTGAATTGTATTTGACATTGGAATTAACTAGTTGGCTTTGGAAAAATGCTAAGGAAAAAAAAACTTCTACAACATCAGCATAACATGTCGAGGAACTGCAAGATAGCTGTTAAGTTTACAGACATAAAGGCTATTTATTTTCTTGCCCCAATCCACATTAAAGCTACATCAGCAATTTGGGGCTATTGTCAGGATCCTTGCACAGATAAGCCCCAATGTGGTCTTAATTATAACAACAATATGGCAATTCTGAAAGTCTGGGTTGGAGTAATCAGTCTTTGTAGCATCGTCTTRTTGTTTGGGGAATAATTTTATGGTAGAAAAATTGATAAGTATAATATTGAATGTATCTATTATTTATGGAATGATCTAATTCTAGACATCTGGGAATATTTCAACCGTACTGTAAAAGATGTAAAATGTGACCTATGACAAAATTAGCAATAGCCATATTTTTAAAAATCTTTTTGCATATAAAAATATATGCTTTGTATGAAAGTTACTATTTAGACTCTATGATTCCATCAAAGGGAAGGACTTTATGGGATCTGGATGAAATTCTGTTTTGTTAAGGAACATTTATACTCATATAAAAATATCAATTATTACCAGGTGTGGTGGCACACAACTTTATTCCCAGCTATTTGGGAGGCTGAGGCAGGAGGATCACAAGTTTGAGGCTAGTCTGGGCAACTCTAGTGAGACCCTGTCTCAAAATAAAAAATAAAAAGGGCTGAGGATGTACTCAGTGGTAGAGCAACCTTGGGTTCAATTGCTAGGTCCAGGGAGGAAAATGTCAACTACTAACTGGACTTCTCTTAGAAATAAAATAGTGACATTTTCTTCTGACACCAATCTTTGCTGGGATGTACCAGATCAAAGCTATGTTTCTGATTCTGGGCATTGATAACCTTTGCAATTTATATGACGGAGTGAAACAAAGAACCTTCTTTAAAAAAAAATTTGCACACAAATACGTTTAGTGTGGTGTGCAGTGTTCATGTGGGATACTTTAAGGGACACTAGAGGGGTTAGAAATTGTCCTTGCTACTACAGGTATATTATAATGCAGTGAGGAAGGGTAGTCAGGGGATAAGACAAGCATAGAAATGAGTATTATTCTATGTGGATTGTCATAATTACATTAAGAGAAGTATTTAGTACAATTTAGAATTCAAAGGCAGAAGATTCCATTACTTTTTGGAGACTGAAAAATGCCTCAGRTAGGAGGCACTGAGATGAGTTTTAAAGGAGTAGGGTTTTGAAAAGAAGAGTTATGAGAAGACAGGGAAGGGAGGGAGGGTTTTATCAAAGCAGAAGAAAAAAATAAATAAATAAAAGCAAACGGAGGCAAGTAGGCATGGCCTTGGGAATTAGCAATATTGATAAACTCCTAAGTGGAGAGTAACTGGCACAGGGATAAGGAGGGATACCAGGTGGATGTGATGAGGAAGCCACAAGGTGCTTCTGATAGTGTCTAATATTGCAGCCCAAATCCTTTTGATTGCAGACTACTGCTGGATGAAAAGCACATTGGTAAGGGCATGCTTGGGGAGAAATGAATCCTAAAGAGCTTTAGCCTCAAGAGTATTCAGGAGATTCTGCTGCAGTGCAGCCCCATCCCCACTTTTCTCCTTGCATAAAGAAGTAGACTACTTCCTGCTGTGGAGCCTGCTTAAATCCTGTGTGGTGCTCATGTGGAGACAGATTGAAGCAGAAGTCCCTCTTCAAGGTCAAGAGTGGGAGGGTGGGGAAGTGCCAGTATTTACTTAGAAACCAGAGTYGCACGTTGTACGTATGTATATATACATCCTGGGTTCCTCCAAATCCTCTAGGAAATATGGGTGCTTTCTGGCTCTTAGAATTAAAATACTTTAGCTGTAGAAAATGAAGAAGTTAAAGTAGAAATATTACTACCCTTCATGTTTTTGCATTGTAAAATGATTTTGAAGACTACCAAATCATTTCAGAAAAAATTGGAACGATTCTATTTTAATCTGCATCTATTTTTTCTCTGTGAATAAAGTGGGTATAGGGCACATTGGTATTTGGCTGATGAAGTTATATCAGGTCATTCTGAACTTTGCAAAAATAAACATTCTCTCATTTTTCTCTCTGTAAGGATGATTAACTATATAATGATTATTAACAGAAGTTGTTATTATACTGAGTGAAAAACATTATGAACATTATTTTTTTTCTTTTTAAATGAAGCTTGCTGAGCATTTGAATCTGCAAGGAGATTCAAAAAATTGAGAGGTCTAAAAATCTAGTATCAATATTTAATTTCTTGTTCAAATTCATCACTACGTTACTATTTTTATATTAAATATGCCAAGCTTCAGTATTAAAAATTGCTTTCTTTCAGAACTTTACACATAACTTTAAAGTAGCTTTTTGAGAAAAATCCTACAGTTTATACAATACTAGGAAGACATTAACCTTAAGTATCATAGAATTCTAAAAAAGCACATTGTCAATTTTATTTAGCTAGAAGAAGTAGAAAATAAGATACACACACCTCCACATACACGCACTAAAGACACAGAAACACCTTTTCTTTTTTTTTTTTTTTAAGTGAAAAAAATCATTCTTACATTCTCCAGTGTATTAACTACTTCTGGTTGGCTACAACTTATGATTTAGTTTCCAAATTACATTTCAATAAGAAACATTTATGATTATTTTTCGAAT